TGCTTCAGCGTCTTAGCAAATGGAGCAGATAAGAATATTTAGAAAGACTCTAGTCTCAAAGAGGGGAATGGGAAGGAGGGTGAGGGCAAGGCTGGAGAATGGATGCAGCACCTTTCAGTTCATGGTGAAGGTTTTCTACTCTAGCAGTGGGGAGCCATTGGAAGGCTTCCAGTGGGAGAGTGGGGCGGTGTGATTCGAAAAGATCCCTCCGAAGGTGGCGGGGGAGAATGTCTTGGGACAGAGATGGATGTGGGCAGGGTCTGGTGCCAAGCTGGGGTTGCCCTCTGTCCATGTTTAGCGGGAGGCCCCTGGTCATTTTCATCTGGTTACACTTTGACTAGGTGAGGAAGGCCTTTCTTTCTCCCCACCCCAATGCTCCAGAAAGTTTATGAGGGTGTGATTAGTTGAAAAATGGGCTAGTCCCATATGGGGGAGTCACTTGGGGGTGGTCAGATCTGGGCAGAAGCTCGGAGCACAGGAGTTCCTTTGACTAGACAATCAGTGGGCTGCCACCAACAGGTTACCTTTATTCAGTGACACCAGCCAATAAGTGCCCCACTCTCTGTAGTTCCCTGCTGACCAGTGGAGTCCATTGGATAAAGCTTGGAGGCCTTCGTCTGCTGACTTTACATGTGTCTGTGTGTCCCCTAAGCCCTTCCTGCACTACCTCAGCTTCTGGAATTTAAGTCACGTCTGAGGTGGAAACAAACTAGCTTTGCCTGTAGTATCTGACTATTTCTGTCTTATACCTTGATCAGTAGCTTCTCGAGACAGGAATGTGTTACTTCTGATTTTCTGGGTCCCTAATGGCCAAAATAGCAGGTGGCCCACAGCTAGACGAAGAAGCACATTGTAGCCAGAGGGAGGAGCATGGGTAAGACCCTGGGCCGGGAGGGAGTATGGTGCATTCCAGACACTGCAAGCAGCGTGGTATGGCTAGAGCTCAGAAACGCAGAGGGACATGGGGAGAGATGAGGTGGAGACGTGAGCGGGCCAGGCTGTGCAGGGGCTCACAGCTTGAGAGTGGTGGGAAGCACCAGAAATCTCCACACACGTGGGTGTCATAGCGAGGTCGACATTTTGAAAGGACCCCCTGGCTGCCTTTGGAGAACGGTGAAGGAGGGAGAACAAGGGCGCATGGAGTAGGCGCTATTGGGAGGCTGCTGGGGTTATCCAGCTGAATAAGTGTGGTAGTTCGGGCTAGGGTGGTAGTCATGGAGGTGGTGAAAAACAGATGGATTTGGGAGATATTTCAGGGCAAAATTCATAGGAGTGGTGACACATTGGCTGTGGGGCATGAGGGAAGAAGACTCTGGAGGCTGCCTGTAGCTTTCTGGTGTATGGACTGAACGTAGTGGTGGCATTCATGGCCGTAGGGAATCCTGGAAGAGAGTCATCTTGTAGAGCAGATTGTAAGTTTGGTTTTGGAGGTGGAGGTTTTGAAGGAGCTCTGAAGCATCCAAGTGGAGATGCCAGGTAGGCGGGAGGATGTGTGGAATCAGAAGCTAGAAGAAAGTAAGGGTTAAAGGCAAAATGTTGAGGGTTATGGGGATGTAGGTGATCATTAAGGCCATAGGAGCAGATAGAGTATCTAGGAGGGCATAGAGGGCATAGGAGCAGATAGAGGGCAAGGGTAAGAGTGTAGAAAAGAGGCCCCAGGTCTAAGCCTTGTGAAAATCCATCCAGGGCATCCAGAGGTGGGTGAGCCATGCCCTTCAGGGCATCCATAACCCAAGAAGGCAGCTAATCCTGAACACCCAGGGATCTGTTTTGCAAGGCGGCATGTACCAAGAGCCAAGTAAATGGTCAACGAAGGAAAGATTATTTTCAAATGAGTATCATGTTCCGTTCCATAAGCTGTGTATGATGACCTTTACTTCGGATCAACCCCAATTCACCTTTTTTCAGCTTCTTAGAGGATTCCTGAGGAGCGTGTTCACCTGCCCTATTCTTCCTGATGCCCAGACATCGCTCACATCCCAGCCCCCC